TATAATACTTGGGTTGACGTTTGGCCATCATCTCGCCTGCAGCTGTAACCAAATGCCATTTAGCGCTTATCTACATGTAGAATAGAAAACCAAATTATATGGAATTGACGTAAATTTTGACACTTGTCAGTGTCATCCCCATACATTTAGTTTTCTACTCTGTCTGTAGACAAGCGCTAAAGTGGCGTTTGGCTAAAGGCCCCACTTAAGACTTGAAGACACCCAAGTTATAATTATCGGGAAACATAGATTCCGGCAAGGAATCCCCTTCCTTAGACGTTCGTAGTCCAGAAGTAGACGGGCGAAATGAAAACGTAAATTCTAACAAAAGTCACACTACCACATCCAAATCTAAGAAGAAATAAAGACAAAGCAATAAAAAATTCAGGTACAATCTCAATAAAATACCAATTACACGACTAAATACGTGCAGACGAACACGCATTGACTTCATAAAGCAGACCGCACTGACGTTTTCCATGAAAAACACGATAAAAGATCCCTATAGCAAATAAATATATTTATTCATCACAGTCGAACGACGATTGACAGTTATCGAAAGCGCCAAATGAATTGTAAAGTCCGCCATTTTATATTTACTGTCAAAAGAATGAATTTCAAACGAAAAGCGGCCAGTTCGTCTGCATCGAATAACTTTGTTAGCGCATAAAGCCCCGCGCAGTCGCGTATCGAATTTTAAATTACATTGTACGAGCGGCGAGTTAAATCGATTGTAAACTCGAATGCATTTTAGTCGATTCAGATGTATCGATTACGATAAACATTTAGTAAAAATTGTGGTCACGTTGTATTTCAGTTTAAATTTTCACTCTGTCACTTTGGCAGTTTTCCTCGAATGGTTGATGAATGAGAATTAAAGGGCGTAAAAACTGTTGATGTATTTGTTTACTCGAACTTTTTAGCGTTAATGGGAAATATATGAATAATATTACCATCACGTAAGGACTCGCCTTTTATTTTATTTAATGCATGAATGACAGAGATTTTCGCCTGCTATGTTTTGATCTTCATGTAATAGGGGATAATAATAATAATATCACACCTTTTATCCCCGGAGGGGTAGGCAGTGGTGCACATTATAACACTTAATTCTACTGTACAATAATATAAAACCTGCATTTCTCTATTTAAATGTTACGAGGTTCATGTAATAGAGAATGAGCCTATTGCCATATACCGGACACAATTCCAGACTCCGTGCTACTACTGAGATTTTTTTATAAACCCAGTAGTACTTTGCGCCAGACCCGGGAATTGAACCCGAGACACCTTGCCCGGCAGTAGCACTTGCGACCTCTCTGCGAACGAGGTAGTCTTATGTAATAGGGAATAGTCTATAGAGTAAAAAAATAAATATATTGGAGTATTAGATAGAGCCTTTATTATTTTCTTTTTGATTTAACTCGTCGAGTACCGTCATTATAGACACAATTATAGAACAATAGGTTGCGGTCACCGGTGACCGCTTGGTGTTTGACAGTTTAAACAGTTTTGAATCTCGTCTGCTCTTACGAAATAACCTCACCAACCAGCATTGGGCCGACGACATTACTAAAAAATTATCATCAACAGCGGTAACATTTTAGAGTTTGAGCCTCTACATAAGAGGGTTCGCAGTAATCACCTTCTTAATGCTTTGTAGGCGTGTAGTTAGTAGGTTCAGGTTTATCAGAGATTACTGCTTTCTGAGCTTTTACGAGACCCGCGGGAAGAGTAACGGTAGCGGAAAATATATTCCACTTTGAAGAAATCTCGTTACAAAATCCAGTCTTCAAACCACATCAATTGGGGCTCGCCCTTTTCTCTTCACCCCGACGATCTAATGATTAGATTTGTCCGATGTTGGGCGTGGCGCTGACTCGGCTTGTGGACTTTTTATCGGCCATTTGACCGGGATCCCAGGGTTATGACTGAGCAAAAACTGAGGGAGCATCACTGTTGATGTGAACTGATAGACTGACGGGGAGATTTTTGTAGTAGTTTTGGTTGGTACTGCGGTTAGATTTAGTACGGGAGTATTCCTTTTCAAAAAAGGCGAGAAAAAATTTTCTTCGAATTTTCTTAAAATAAGGATTTTCATGCATTGTGCGTGCGTTAACAAAGACAATTGGGTAGTTTCCAGGGTATCAAAATCAAAAATCTAATTAGTCCGTCAGTTAGATAATGAAAAAATATTAGACACGTATTTTTTTATTTTCTCGTATTAAGTTGCAATACTTAGATAAAATGGCGCTAAGTTTAGGAGTGGGAGGTCGTTACATCATAACGTGCTACAAAATGTGGCACGCTGTGACGTCACACGATATTTCAAATTAAAATACCGTCCAAAGTATTTAATTTTGTGAGAAAAGAAAAATACGTGTCTAAAGTTTTAAATTAATGTACCAGACGGACATTAAAATAAAATTTAGGAAACCACTCTATTTCATGAATACATAAAAAAACAATAATTAAAAAAACAATTATAAGTGCAAAACTCGATGTTTAAAATCATACATGGATTTTAAAGACCATTAAAATTACCTGCCTCTTTGGTCGATTGTTCGCAAGTGCGACTGCCGGGCAAGGGGTCTCGGGTTCGATTCCCGGGTCGGGCAAAGTATTAATGGGTTTTAAAAAAATTCTCAGTAGTAGCACAGAGTCTGGAAATGTGCCCGGTATATGGCAATAGGCTCACCCCCTATTACATGGGACTCATAACATAAATAGTGAAAAGTGGGTGTTACATTGTACAGCAGTATGATGCACCTCTGCCTACCCCTTCGGGGTATGTATGTAAAATTACCATTGAAAACCAATAACTTACAAAATCAATGGACAGAAAAGATGCGAAAACTATTAGACGATAATATGTCTGCGACTGTCAACGCAACTATTTGTCATTTGACTCCCCATTTCCCGCGCTTTCTGCTCTATAATGGCGGTCGAAGCTTTATGGTCTATTTAGTCGATTTTATTGCGATATCTTTTAGTTTAACTGCGGTGTTAGTTTAGTGGTTGGTGGCGTGGATACCGATTAGGGTTTCGCGCAATTGATTCTCGTTTTGCGTGTTGATCAATTGATTTGAGATAAGGTACGTTGTTTAGCCCTAAATAGCTCCAAAGTCTGCGAAAAAAAAACGTAAAAGATGTGGAAACTATGGTTTTCTTGGTTTGGTCTTCCATTGAAACAAGTCTTCTGATTTTTGAAGTTGGATTCAAGATAGTGGTTTGATTGTTTCTATGTTTTTTTTTAATATTCAATCTGTTATTTAGTTATTGGAAATTATATATGTCGTTAGTAGAAAATCGTCAACGATCATTTTATTCTAATAATCTGCTTTTGATAGTGCATCGTATGACATGCGCTTCACATACATTTTTCATCGTTATTTTGAAAAGGACATATTATGTAATTACTTCACCAACACTAATACCTAATATTAATCTCCATAAGCTGATCCTCTAATACCCAAAGCTCCCAATAACTTAAAAAGAACACACAATTGCATTTAAGCCCTTTTAAAACTATACCACGTATCGCTTAACGCACCCTAATGCGACAACCACGCCCCCTACACATTAGTCAGTATAGAAAACATGTTTAATTGTTATTTTAACAACAGCGCAGTTAGCATTGTAATGGATAACAGTTACTGCAGGGATAATAGTTAAATGTAACGATTGGATTTAATCGTTGTACGGTATTACAGTTAAATATTGTCACGCCTATCTCCTATTGTTACAGGGATTCTCGCATAATTATTTCGGTTAGATTCTAGTGTACTTTTCGACTGTTCATTTTATTGACTTTTGGGAGTGACTGAGTAGCATTAGCAGTTTATATTTTCAACAATACTTCTCTGTTATTTAGTTAACAATAAATGTTATAAATTCGTCGTGGTGGCCCGAAGGTTTAGACGCCCGCTTCTTATGCATGAAGGCGTGGGTCCGTAACCAACCAACGGCAAGTACCAATGTGACTTTTTCCGAGTTATATGTAGGTACTTTCTTATCTTATTTAGACACCACTGATGAACGGTGTAGGAAAACATCGTGAGGAAACCCGAGCTTATAATTTCTAATCACAAGTCTGAAATTGCTAACGCACATTGAGCGTGTGTGGTGATTAATGCTCAAGTCTAAACTAACACGTGAATATACTGAGAAAAGCTCTACTACTTTCGAACCACAGAGGGGTTCTTTCTCATGAGCAGCGTGCGCGGTCGCGGCGATGTCGCGTAGCCTAACGGTGAAGGAAAACATTGTGAGGAAACCTGGGCTATGAATGAATTTGTGATTAGGTATAAATTTGAAATCGCTAATCCGCACTCAGCAAGCGTGATGATTAATGCTCAAGCCTTATCCGTGTGAGAAGAGGCCTTCAGTTAGCAGTGGCCACTTAGACTGTTGATGTGATCTGAACTGCTATTTTAATGCTATGATTACTGGTATAGCTGACTTGGGCAAAAACTGAACTTTGTGAAAAATAGGACTAACGCCAATATCTATGGACATGTTCGCAGTCGCATAGGATTTGCCTGAAGGGTATAACCTGGGTGTCTTCAAGGCCCAAGTGAATAGGTTGTTTATGGGACGACGTGCTCCTACGTAGACCGCATCATCGTTTACCACCAGGCGAGATAGAAATCAAACATCGGCCCATCACATATAAAAAAAAAATTGCGATGCCGACCAATAAACAGTGTCAAAGTCAAAGTCAAAATCATTTATTTCAATAGACCAGGATGGCACTTTTGAACGTCAAACAACAAAAATTTAAAAATGAAGCTAGTTGCTCATTCCAAGGTGTACATTCCTATGTAGAAGAACGAGCAAGAAACTCCATAGGTTACTCTTTTCCAATCAGGTTCACAATACAATTCTCTAGTTACATAGTTTTGTTGGTTCGATTGTGTGAGAACAATGCAACACCTAAATCCAGTCAAAGAGTGATACCTAATAATCAACACAGACTAACTCTCATCTTTTTCCACCAGGAAACGACTCGGAGCCAGACCAAGAAGACTCGACAGACACAGCACGAGAGAGTAAAGCGAGAAGAAGAAGAACTGCCTTCACATCGGAACAGCTCCTCGAGCTGGAGAGAGAGTTTCACGCCAAGAAGTATCTGAGTCTTACTGAGAGGTCTCAGATAGCATCTGCTTTGAAACTTAGTGAAGTTCAGGTGAGAACAAAAGCATAATAATTAATTTCTTTAAAAAGACATAGCATAACATCACTCCTTTTTATCCGCGAAGGGGTAGGCAGAGGTGAACATTACGGCACTTAATGCCACTGTACAATGTAACACCCACTTTTCACTATTTATACTATGAGTCCCATGTAATAGGGGGTGAGCCAATTGCCATATACCGGGCACAGTTCCAGACTGCGTGCTTAATTTTTAATTTCCTAAACGAATTAACTCTAACCTTTTGCCCCCAGGTGAAAATATGGTTCCAAAATCGCCGAGCGAAATGGAAACGCGTCAAAGCGGGCCTCGCGTCCGGGAGCCACTCAAGCAAAAACGGTTCGGGCACCAAAATAGTCGTCCCCATACCAGTCCACGTAAACCGATTCGCGATCCGAACTCAACATCATCAAATGGAGAAACAAAACCTTCAATATCGATTAGAAAGACAGCAACCACTACCAGGTAGCCTCCTACAATCACAAACGTCAGCATTTTTAAGTGCAACGAAAATCGATTCGAATAATCGATTGGATAGGGAACCGAATATGAATGGTCGCAGCTCTATGTTTGACGTTTCTATGCCTGGACGTATGACGACCATGAATCAAGTAAATCTGAGACATTTTCAAAATGGCCGACCGAGCTAATTATTGTTAATGGACCAATCGTTCTTTGGAGCTTGAGTTTTAAGGATTTTTTGTCAACATTTTTAAATAACCAATGTCAATTCAAATATTGATGATCGTGAAACAAACTATTTGAAAAAAATCAATAGAAGTCACGTCAAAAACGTAGTACTTGCTAAAGCCCAATTGCTCAAGCAATCTTCAATTTTGTAGACTTAAGTAATTCTATGGACCCATTTAATCGGTGTTTTTATTCAGTAAACAAGAGTTTTCTTTGTTTTTAAAAAATATGAAAGTGTAGATGGGTTACCTAAACAACGTTCGGTCTTCAAAAATGACACACTAACGCAAACATCAATACGTTGGCAGACCAACGTGACTCTGATGCCCTGTTCGCACTATGCTAGTATTTTAGTCAAGTAGCGAATATTTAGTAACTGCCTCTCGCTTCGATTTTGGAATAGAAGTGAAAGGGACATACTAAACACTTGCTGCGAACAAGGCATAAGGTACAATAGGGTAGTTGCCATGGAATGATAATTAAAAATCTAATTAATCCGTCAGTTAGATAATTAAAAAATATAAGACACGTATTTTTTTATTTTCTTGTATAAAATTACAATACTTAGATAAAATGGCGTTAAGTTTAGGAGTGGGAGGTCGTGACGTCACACGATATTTCAGATTAATATATCGTCGAAAGTATTTAATTTCGTGACAAAAGAAAAAATACGTGTCTAAAGTTTTAAATTAATCTACCAGACGGGCAATTAAATAAAATTTAGGTTAGCAGCTATTGGTTAGCAGCTAGGCTGTTCTGTAACTGTTAATTCAAATTTTCAAAGTGAACTCCATCGCATTCTGGCCCGTTATTGGTCGAGATTATCATGAGATTATTCTCATAACCAATGACATGGCAGACCGCGATCGAGTTCACTTCAGTTCACACAGTTTCAGAATAGCCAGTGTTGAGGATAGCCATATTTTAACACGCCACTTGCTAAGTTATTAACACCCATCTATACTTTTTTACTTATAATATCCCCTTGACTGCTTGCGCGAAAAAAAATGGTTGACGACTTTTTCTTTGCAACTGTGGTTGCAAGAAGCAATCGAGCGGATATATTATTGCCCAACTTTCCGGGTTGGCGATACAAACTTATTCAAAAATTATAAAGCTCCAGGTTTCCTCACGATGTTTCCCTTTACCTTTTGTCAGTGATGTCTAAATAATCTTAGAAATTCGGAAAAAGTCGCAATGGTACCCTATGCATGAGACGTGACCTAGCCACCACGACGTTTTATATTTATAAAACGCCATAAATGACCTAAAACCATATAAACTCAAGCTTCAAAAGATTACAGTGATCAGTAGTATTATTAATAAATAACTTAACATGTGTATTATATTTAAACTGTAATAAAAGCAATGCCTATAATTATGTCAAATTATTATATCGATTATTAAATAATGTGTGATCATATTTTCTTGTTTTTATTTTAATACCATTAAAGTGCTATACCAACGTACAGTCTGCTTGATGAAAAGTCGCCGTAGCCTAATTATGTACCGTAAGCACGGGCCTGCGGATGGCAGGGCATGGGTGACTCGCCACAACCAGACCCGAGCGTGCGGCGCGTCGCGTTCCGCGCGCGCCTCAAAGAGCCATCAGACCACCACAGATGGGGCCCAATAGAGATGATGGCGATACGGAGCTGTGGGAGCTTAACGGGTTACCGGGGCTCCGGCTCGAAGTGTAGGAGTAGGAACGGGGTGGTTTTTAATCAGTAAGAGTTATTCGATGATTTCCCCTCCTAAAAAAAAAGCCTAATTATGTACTGAAGTATCAGAACTAACGCTTTTTGTGTTTATTAACATGGGCGAAGCCACGGTGGAGTACTTGCCCCACCCTGGATCAGACCTAACCTAAGCAATCTTAAAAACTAAACCATTTATTAGGATACTACAATAATACTTAACATTTATATTATTTTTTGTATGAAAATATTAACTAGGATAATACCGTGGCGCGGGTATAGTTGGCTGGTTATATTATACTTATAAATAATTTCAGACAGTTGGCCCACCCTGAGCATAGGCTCAGGGTGGGCCAACTAGCAGCCTGCTACACCCATGCATGGTTGCTGACGCAAATCTTATACTCTCACACTTACTATTATACATAACATAACATCACACCTTTTTATCTCCGAAAGGGTAGGTAGAGGTGCACATTACACTACTATTTATGTTATGAGTCCCATGTAATAGGGGGTGAGCCTATTGCCATATACCGGGCACAATTCCATACCTCGTGCTACTATTAAAAATGTTTTAAAAACCCCTGTAATACTTTGTCCGACCCGGGAATCGAACCCAAGACCTCTTGTTCGGCAGTCGCACTTGCGACTACTCGGTCAACGAAGCAGTCAAATAATCAAATTAGTAATCTTATTAGTCCTCTCATCGTACATAATTTCAGACACAATTTTATTATATTTATTTCGATAATATCTCAAAAATCAATTACATTAGAGACACCCTATATTTGTAAGGGGCGTGTCTAACATATAATTCTTTCTTTGGACAACCATTACAAACCAATTTCGGTCTTACTGCATTCTTCTTAAGTCTATATTTCCCTTCCCTTCCCTAAAAAGCTGTTCTTTGTGGTATTTTTCTAACTAGTAATGGATGGCGACTTTAACATCACGCCATACAATACCTAAAGGGGACGGCAGAGGTAAGTAAACATTAAGTGTAACGTAACTTACACTGTTTTGCCAGCTCATCATCAACAGCCTATAAGTGTCCACTGCTGACCAAAGGCCTCTTCTCACACGGAGAAGTTTTGACCATTAATCTGCGTGATTAATGGAAAAAATAAACTGCGTAAATTGTAATTTACTGAGAAATTCAGAAGTCGATGTTCCAATGTTTTACTGGAACTGGGAACGATAAATCGTCTGTTGACTGCGTAAACTAAACTTAACTGACTCTTGTAAACGAGCAGACGTATCACCTGATGGTAAGCAATCGACGTCACCCATGGACACCTGGAACACCAGAGGCGTTACAAGTGCGTTACCAGCCTTTTGGGAATTGAGAATTAGTCATTAATTGGGAGTTCTACTTATATCAGTCAATCCCATCTAGTATATAAAAAAGAAAGAATTGAGGATAGTGCGGTATCGGGGATTGGAGAGACTGGGGAGGAGAGGGGGGGGGATTTATATTATGATCTCCTGTAACCTTAGTCAAACAGACGAAACACAACGCAAGCGTTGTTTCACGTCGTGTAGGTTTTATGCTCGGCCGTGGTATCACTCCGGTTGTCCCGGTCGAGCTGAACTATTCGTGGCGAAGCTTGATTCTCCCACATTTGAATTCAAAAGGTTCAGGTTTATCAGAGAGTGCTGCTACCCGGTCCAGTCTGTTAAAACTGGGCAGTTCTTTAGGTACTTGTTACTTTAACCAATCCTAATTCAAAATGAACTCTTTGACAGGTAGTCTATTTCATAATAAATGAAGGTTTCAAGGTCGATCCTTGTTCAAAGACTTTAGATTGAGACTGATTTAATTTCAGTCTTTTTTCAGCTCTACGGGAGGAATAGGAGTGGTAACAAAGGATGTAGTCCACTCTGCCTTTGTACGGCTTTCTATGTGTAGACACAATGACACAAAACCACCCAACAATTCGTCAGAAATCGATTACGGTAATCTCCGCCATTTACAGCCATACTTTCCGTTAAATATGTCAAAGCATAAACACCATTTAAAATTAAAACAGCATTCTCTATACCGACAGATGTGCAGTATCTGTGCCAAACTTGTATAATCTGTGGGCGGGGCGGCTACAGGGTGTGAGTAAAATAACAATGACGCATTATTTGAGTACAATGCTTGTAATCTGCTGTTAATAAGTCAAAAGTTAAATTATATTTGTCAGCTGCTCGATTATATAAGTCAAATATTAATTTTATTTTAGAATTCTACGAGAATAACTTTACAAATGGAGATAGAACTTCATAAATATTATATGCAACTTAAAATTAATTACAGCTAAAACAGTAAATAATCGAAAAAAGGATTAAATAATAAACACAAAAAATACCCTTTTTTGAGGGGGAAAAATCTCAACGAATGACTTCTACTACCCGGGTGAAGCGTGGGGAGTGTCAGATTCTTACTGACTAAAAACCACCTCGTTCCTACTCCTGCACTTCTAGCCGGAGCCCCGGCAACCCTTAAGTCCTCCGCGGCTCTGACAAAAAAAAACCTTAGGCGTCAAAGTATTAGTCTGCATCACTGTTACAGGGGAACGTTCCCAGAAGACTGGCAGCATTGCCACGTTCGATGGCAGAGCAAATTCGAGCTCTCTGAAGAAATAGCCAGCCCTCTGGTCAAAGACAAATAAAATTGTGCTTTGGTTTGCGAAAATATAAGTATTGCGATTAGTGGTTGAAATAAGGTCTTGGTTTGTTCGTGAGTACAAAGGGTAGGAGAAAGGTGATTTTCATTCTAGTAATAAACTATTGAACAGATCTTATTAAAACTTTAATATGGGTAGGTATTTTAGTTTACAATACCTACGCCTATTTAAGTATTTTCCCCAAGTACCTACAACTGTCGCGGAGAACCTAACGGGTTAACGGCTCCGGCTCGACGTGCAGGAGAAGGAACGGGGTGGTTTTTAGTCAGTGTCTGACACTCCCTCTCGCGTCACACAGGCGGGAGCAGTCATTCGATGACTTTCCCTCCTTAACTCGTCGAGTACCGTCATTATAGACACAATTATAGAACAATAGGTTGCGGTCACCGGTGACCGCTTGGTTTTTGACAGTTTAAAAAAAGTACCTACAACTGCAATTTTATTATTTATACGAGCCTTGAATATGTGGTACTAAAGAGTTGCGCCAAAACCTTGCTGTGACTGCACGCGTGTAGCTCGCAAACGGCTCGCGAACTGCACATTCGCCAGATTTGGACACACCCTAAGAGGAATAATGATAGATACTGTTTAAACTGTCAAACACCGCGAGGACACCGGTGACCGCAACCTATTGTTCTTTAATTGTGTCTTTAATGACGGTACTCAACGAGTTAATAGACAGAAACCTGCTGATGATGATAGGTTTTGAAGTTATTGATTAAACTACGTAGGTAATAATACCTTACCTTACTTAAGTAGGTATAATCACACTAATATTATAAATATGAAAGTTTCTGATTGTTTGGACGTGTGTTCATCAATCACGCTGAAACTACTGAACGGAATTTGATGATATTTGGTATACAGGCAGGGTATGGACTGACTTAAGTGATATTATACTTTTATCCCGAATAAATGAACCCATGGAATAAACAGGGATCACATTCTACGCGGAAGAAGTCGCGGGTACAGCTAGTAACTAATAATTCAAATAAGCTAAATTAAATTGCGGACAGAAACTAGTAAAAAATAAATTAAACTAGCGTATTTTACAGTCTCTCGGTCAATAAAAATAACAACAATTAAAGTCGAAAAAGGGCGTAACTAACGTTTAATCGACACAAAAGCCAAACATCAATTTGA